GAGGTGGGAGTCCCAGCTCCTCCCAGAGGCCAGGAGCCTAGGGGGGTAGTGTCTGGGAGGCTGGTGGCCAGTGTGTTCTATCTGTTTTACCGAGTGTCCTCCCTGGAGGGTCCTTGGGGGCTGTGGAAGGTGGGGGCTGGATTCAGCTCTGAAGAGCTGGTGGCAGTCACGGGCCACAGGGAAGGTCCTACAACAGCCTGTGACAGGGTGCTGCTTGGTCCAGTCCTCTCTCCACCCTTTATTCAGCATTCACTGACCTCCCTCCCAGGCCTCTGAGTAACCACGTGGTCAGCCACCTTCCTCCGGACCCTCGGGCCCAGGAGATGGCACTGCAGGCCCCAGTGCTGGGGCAGGGAGCACCAGGCCTGGGTCTGATCCTCTGGGTGCCTCCCCCACCCCCTGAGCCTGTCCTCCAGCCTGGAGCCTGCTGAGGGAGGGCCACGTTCTCAGGGGTGTTCCACGGAACCCCAGAGTTCCCAGCGGTGTACCCAGTGGCCGCCAATAGGATAGAGCTGTTGGCGTAAGAGACTGGGGTGTCAGCCACCCCACAGGATGACGCCTGAGCCATGGGAGGGATTTAGGTGGCAGCTCTGGGCACACAAGGGCCTGTGAAGGCAAGGCTGGACCCACCCCTGCTGTGGCTCTGAACCCCAGGGCCTGACCCCGCAGCACGGCTCTCCTGGGCCTCAGGCTCCTCTTGGTGACATGGGAGTACGTGAACCCTGGATTCCTGAGTTCCTGGGACAGGTGGCCTCCCTGGCAGAGCTGGTGGGCTGAGCAAGCCTTCACTGACCCACGTGGCCCACCTGCTGCCGGCTGGCGGTCCTGGGGCCAGGGGGCGGGGTTCCGTGCTGGTGTGCAGGTGGTCACCACCTGTCTGGAGCCAGAGGTCCGAGGGCACCAGCGGGGGCCGTTCCTCCTGGAGGCTCCGAGGGACAACCTCCCCTGGCCTCCCAGCCCCCCGTGGCCGTGGCCACCTTGGCCTTCCTGACCCGTGTCCACTACAGTCTCTCTCCTCCACTGTCGCTGGCGCTCCTCTGCGTGTCTGTTTCCACATGGCCCTCTCTTCAGGACGCCGGTCACTGGATTCAGAGCCCATTCTAGTCCAACAGGGCCTCCTTTTAACTGGATTGTGTATGCAGACAATCAGGTCCTGTTCGCGGTCCTCGTAGCACCACCGAGGGGACATAAGTTGGCCCACAACAGGGGTGGCGGTGATGGGGAGATGGCGGTCTCAGTCTCTTCCTGCTTGTGTAATAGGATTCCATAGTCTAGGTAGCTCATGAGCGGCAGAGTCTGAAAGTCCAAGACCAAGGTGCTGCACGATTCCGTGTCTGCCAAGGGCCCTCTCTGGCCCAGATGATGGCTGCTCACGCCCTCACCTGTTCTTCTGTAGGCGCACTAAGCCCATCATGTAGTTTCCTCTCTCATGCCCTGGTCACCTGCCAAGCCCCACCCCTAATGCCATCACCTGGGGATTCAACATGTGACACAAACCTTTAGACCACAGCAGTGGTGGTGTGATAGGGATGGTGTCGGCGGTTACTGTTGCTGTTGGTGTTGGAGATGGTGTTGGCGGTGGTGGTGGTGATGGTGATGGTGGTAATGGTGGTGATGGTGGTGATAGTAGTGGTAGTGGTGGTGGTAATGGTGGTAATGGTGCTGATGGTTGGTGATGGTGGTGGTGATGGTGGTGATAGTAGTGGTAATGGTGGTA